TTTTGTATATTATAGAAACCAACTGGCCCAGAATAAAAAATAAGCTAGTATTTTTAGTACATCAAACATACACAGAACCAAAAGAACAAGTGCCCAGAGAAAAAACGGATATATTAGACCTCACTGAAATTTGAAACTTTTGTGACACAAAGGAAGGACACCATAACAACATGCAAAGAGGGCATCCCTAGTGGCACAAGGGGTCTCAGCACTGTCAAGCTATCACCAGCCACTGCAGCACAAGTTCAATCCCCTGCCAGGGAGCTGACGACCCACATGGTGCAGCAGACCTCTCCTGTCTCGCCCACTGCTCCCCTCAGCAGTGTATTTCAGTCAGTCTGCCTGTTCTGTTCCCCACTCTGTCTCTGGTGAATCCTCTCACCCCCTGCACCTCTGGCCTATACCCCAGTTCTTGTATGCATAAATAAAAAAAAATCTTTAAAAAAATGAAAAGACAATCTACAGAATGGGAGGAAACATTTTCATATCATATCTGCCAGGGAATTTACAGCTAAACTGCATTTTTTTTAACTCTAGTAATTCAACAATAAAAAGACAACCAGGGGCAAGTCTAATTTCACTCACCTTCATCCCAAAGCCTGTATACACAATTCCAGCAGAGTACTCACTACAGAATACCAGCAAGAGAACTTGGAGGCTGAGTTTTGCCTTCTGCCCCTACAGAGGAACTAGTGCAGGATACAGAGAAAGGTGGGAGTGAAAACAGGGTTACCTAAACTAGGAAAAAATCAGAGATAGGCTAAAAGGCAATGGACATCATATTCAGAAAACGAAATATTATTCAGCAATAAAAAGAAATGAGCTGCTAATACATTCAACATTAAGGAATCTTGAAAACGTTATGCCAAGTGAAAAACGGCCAGACACAAACCATGACATGTTGAATGATTCCATTTACATGAAATTTCCAGATAAGCCAAATCTGCAAAGACAGAAAGCAGATCTTTCTGTCGGGCGGGGGCTGGGAGGGCGGGTAACAGAGGCTGACTGTAAATAGGCACAAGGCAATTTTCGCTGTAATAAAAATAGGCTAAACATGAATTATCATGATGGCTACACAACTCCAAAATTCGCTAAAAATTATCAAATTTATAATAGATACATTTTATGATATATAAATTATACCTCCATAAAATGATCTTGAGATGAAAAAACTAGTAGGGCCCTCGGACACAGGAAATAGTGGGCTTGGATCGGAGGGAAGATTTTTTTTTTCAGTCATATTCATACGCTACATCATATTCAACCCAAAGACGCATAATGGAGAGGAACAACACATTTTCTTTTGCTTCTGTTTCACTTGTGAAAAACAGTATCTTCAAGTATCTCAAATTTAAAGCAATGAATGTCCAAGATTCTCTTAGAAAGTGATTCTGGAGGTGCTATGCCTAGAGGTTCAGTGTTAGCACTGTGTATCCAAAGCCCAGTTCTGCTACTAGGTGACCTGGAGCCAGTGTCTTCACCTTAGTCTCGGTTTCTTGTTCCTTTAAAACGGAATTAACACACAGCACAGAGCTGTCTAAACAAGCACACTCTCTAGGACAGAGCAAGCACTCAGCAAATGCTGATGCTATTATTCCTACACATCATCGCCCCCGTCACAATGGCCCCCCCTCCTCAGAACCCTGAAAACGGGACTGACACACGTGTGTTCTCGGTGCCACTCAGTGCTTTGATGCTCTGATATTCAATTCTGGCTCCACTGCCCAAACATAACAAGGGTTTCTTATAACCCTCATTCACTATCTTAGGGACTTAGACCTGGAAATAAAGTCTCAAATCTTTTCACTGGGTAGAACAAACATCACCCCATTTCCTGGCAAAAGTAAGATATCTTCCAAGTCGACAATAGGAAAAAAAAAATTTTTGTTTTTGTTGTTTGTTTCCACAACTGGGCAAAAAGAAAATGTCAGCATCTCTGCAGAGATGCTGGGCAAACGGAAAAATAACCCAGAAAAATAAAGCCATCCATCTGCCGGAGGAGCTGGCACAGGCACACAGTTGCCAGGCCCTACACCAGAGAATCACCAGCACCCACAGAGTCAAGCAAGGGCCGGGACCATGCTGGCTACTTCCTGAACAAACAGCTAGAGCCCAGCCAAGTTCAAAAATCCCTTGCTTTAAAAAAAAAAAAAAAGTCAATGTGAAAAGGAAAGGGAAACCACACAGGAGTGAACTCTGTTTTGTAAGACAAGGGTCTTCTGGTTCTCCTTTCCTTTCCATTGGCTGGGGGGGGGGGGGTGCAACCCTGGAAAAAGATTTTTGGTTATTACACAGACCACACCTCACCACTGATGTGAGGGAAAATACTGTGGGCCCCCAAAGCCCGCCCACGAGCCCACCAGCACACACTGACCCAAAGAACCCGCGTCCCCCAGCAATTCCTTCCAGCCACACACCTCAGAGAAACACCTAGAGACATCAGCAACATGGCAGGGGACTAGGTGCCTGCGCAGGGAAGGGCACGTGCCCTTTAGTCTCCACACTTGCTAGGGGGCCACAAAAGTCCCAAACCTGAAGACAGTCAAAGGAGGTATGTCATGGGGTTCACTTCTCTAATGTCACATCCAAGAAAACCTCAGGGCCACTGTGGGGAATTCCCCCGGGCACTACCTGCCACCTACTCAGTAAATGGGGAGGAAAACGAATTCTTCACAGGACTGTCTACTGCACCAAAAGCTAGTGCCCTTGAAATCCAATGTCCCTGTCCTTCTGGGTCTGTTCTCAAATGTTGCCTCTGCTCTGCTTTTTCCAGCACGAAGTCATCAGAACTTGTGAGCTGGCAGGCTCCTGGAAGCCCCAAGAGATGGGCGTATCAAAAGTCACAGCACATGAGACTGGGCCAAGCTACGTTTAACATGCAGCTTTACCGTCACAAACTGGAAAAGACTACTATTCTGGATTACTCTCCAACCTCTCATTAAAAAGCATGTCCCTGACGCAGAAAGTAAGTGATCACAAAGAGATAATCAAGGGAGTTAGGAGTGGGGATTCCAAACCTGTGACAAGGTTCAGATCCATGTCTTCCCTTCACAAGAGCAAGTGACTAGACAAATTACTTCACCTCGATTTCCTCAGCCATTCTGAGGCTAGCAAAGGCACCAAGCCTGTGGATTATTCTGAGAATAAAATGGACCAGATAAAAAGTCTCTAAAATAGTATCTGATACAGGTACTATGTAACTCATCATTACCATCATCATCACCCTGAAACTGAAGGGAAATAAGAGTACCAACATCAGAATTACATGGGGGAAAAAAAGGAATGTAAGGGATCAATTAGTAAAATATCATTTAGTAGAATAAAATATAAACACCCATAACCAGAGGTTAGTGGGAACATAAAAGCAAAACAAGAATATACTATAAAATCTTGGATACAATATGACTCCAACTATGTTAAGATAATCACTCACACACACACACACACACACACACACACACACACACACACCTCAAAATCAGAGTGAAAGAAAACAAATGAAACGTGAGCAGCTGTTCTCTGGGCAGTGGGATTATGATTGACTTTTACCGGCCTCTTTATTATTTCTATTCCTCCAATTTTTTTTTTTTGTGGGACCCTCGCCGGCGGTGGTAGGGGAATGAACTGGCACTGCAGAGGCTGCGGGCAGCCTCGCAGCCCAGTGCTCAACTGCTGTGCCACCAGGGGAGGCCCTCAATTTCCCAAATTTTTATGCAGCAGACATGCATTACTTTACAAATCAAAATAAATGTGGGTTTTAAAAACTGTTTTTGAGGAAGAAACTTGATACCAGGTTGGGTCCCCAATGGCTGCTATTACAGAGCAGCCAGGACAAAGTGTGTGTGGGGGGGTAATGAACCCTAACAAGCAGGGCCTGGGTCTGCTCGCAGTGTCAGGAGGACAGGGCCTATACTGGGGAGTGGAGACCAAGAGATGGAGGAGACCAAGAGATGGAAGAGCCTCAAACCACTGAACAAATGTGAAAGATGAAAGCACTGGGTCAAAAAGGGGCAGAGCTCTGTAAGCTAGAAATAAATTTCAAAAAACAAGAAAACGGGAGTGATGACTTCAGCAGTTCCTAATTTATATGAAACAGATTATTATAAAGGCCCCCCAAAAAGGAGAAAAAAGACACTCCTGGGGAAAGCTAATCAGCAGCCCATTTTCTTTCCCTGGCTGAGACAGATCAGTCACCAAAACTTAAAAGCAAAAGATCAAAATGGCTGGAAATAGGAACCATGGGCCCCCGCTGGAGGCAAGGCCAGGACAGGACACCTGAGCTTGGTGCTCCCAGGTATTCTCCAATCTGAGGTCAGCCCCTCATGCCAACAAGGACCAAGAATTTCCTTCTTTTCAGCATCCAGATGAGAGAAAAAGATCTATGACAGACATAAACCAGAGCCCAGAAAGAATTCCCCATGGGGTCTAAGAAGACTGAGCATCTTTCTCTGCAAATCTTCCTAGTTTGTCTTCAGTCCCAACCTCTTCTAGCTTGAGTTCTCACCAAGCTCTTTTTCAGAGATTCCTTGTGGCACTTTGGAAGGGGCAGACAGACAACAAATAGAAAAGCAAAGCAGACAGAGTGGAAAATGCAGAACAGATGGCAGAGAGAAGCATCAGTACCCTCCCAGCTCCCATTTGGAGCCCCCTGTCCTCTGACAAGCCTCCCTCACCCTGTGACCAGCTAAACAAGCATCCACCCCGCCACCCCACCCCCAGTTCCAGCACCTAGCCACTCTTCTTGAGCAGCAATCTAGGATCACGGCAAGTTAAGGTTCATCCAGATTACCCACCAAGTTTTCCTATTTCACAGTGAGGAAAACAAGTCAGGTCTCTCACTATCCCTGCCCAAGACCATCTGATTTGGGTTTCTGGCTGGAGGTCACAGCCTCTGCTGTGACAGAACCAGGACAAGAAGGACACTATCAGCTATCCCGATGGCTGCGCCCCTGACACACTCAGTGCCTGTAACCTGGACTGCACTCTCTGCTACTCACTGTGAAAGCTCCAATCCAGTCCCAGGCTTCTCCTGAGCAGAAGTTAACATAGAATATAATCCAGGTGTAAAGAACTGGGGCAACTTTTCACCTCTTCTGAAGAACAATTATAATAGGAAACTCTCAATATACAATGGCGCAACAGCGGTCTGTCAAGTACCAAAAATAACATATAAGCTTTATGATGAATCAGGATATTTACATTGCCTTAAAGTATCTTCACCAAAATATTAATAAATATTAGCAAATATCTTATTAACAACTGTGGTGGTTTTAATGTAGGACCACAAATTCTTTTCCTCCTTCCAGGAGATGGAACTTAATTTCCCTTCCTCCCTATGAGTGTGGGCCAGATCCAGTGATTCCCTTTTAATGAAAAGCTTATGGAAAGCAGAAAATAGTAACTATCGTAACAAACACTGGCAGACACCACTTTATAATCAAATGATCAAAGTTAACACCAGGGGTAAGTCATGCTGATATCATGCACTCCCTGACATAACATGTTGCCACTATTACATCCTAATAAATTCACAAACTCAGTCTAATCATGAGAAATTACTAGACAAATCCATATTAAGGTATAGTAAGGTACATTCCACACACAAAGCAACTGACCACTACACTTTTCAGAAATGTCAAGGTCATATAAGACATACAATGTCACACATTAGAGGAACATAAGGAGACAGGATGACTATAAGCAAATACATGGATCCTGGAAAGAAAAGAACATTAGTAGAAAAATGGGAAAAATGAAGTTATTAATTAATGTTAACAGTATTGTACCGATGTGCATTTCTTAGTTTTGATAAATGTACCATGGTTCTATAAAATATTAGGGGAAGGCAAGAGAAGGATACAGAAGAACTCTATATTGCATTTGTAACTCTTCTGTAAATATAAGATTCCTTTAAAATAAAAAAGTTCTAAGATAAATCTTTGTACAAGACAAAAATAAAAGGTAATGTTCCTGAATGATATATCATACTTACCCTAAGGCCGCAGGTCCTCATAAAAGTCCTGGGCCTTGTCAGCCCCTCTTTGAGAAGCATCAGAGAATCTCTTAATCATCGCTATTTACTAACACCATAGCCACAAGGATCACGTATCAGGAAGGAATAGCAGGCAGCATCTTAACTGTTCAGTTGAGTCTTAACATCAAGATCCTCTCTAAATTCTACCCCTATAGGGGACAAGATGAAACAGTGATAAGGCTCTGGCTGTGGTCCCACCGCTCAGCACTTGGCTAAGATCCACACAGGACAAATTCTGAGTGTGGGCCAATATGAATTCATTTACAGAAATGTTTTTCGCTTTCTCCCTTCTCCATTTAAAAGAGCTTGATTTAAATCCTTAGTGTTACCTTCAAGGGATAAACCTTATTAAACTGTCAACCAACCATGACTGAAAAGACAAAATCTTCCCCAAAATCTCCAAGGAAAACATTTAAAAGTTTTCATCACTTAAACACATATCTTTTACTTCATAGCTTATTCCTATATCTTTGCATGAGGCTTTTCTGGTTTTTATACTGGGGATGCAGAGTCAGATTTTCTGTAAACATGGCCCCAAATTCTCCACCCCTCTGACTCTGTGCTCTACATCCATAGGAACAAGGAGAAACATGGCATAAAGATGAGGTCCCCAAGCTAGACCCCAACAAACCTAACAGCTGACACAGATATAGAAACATCCTAGCCAAGAACACAAACAAGCCCACCCGAGCCCAGTGCAAACTGCTGCCTGCAGAATCAAGAGCTAAGAGAGTCACTAAATTCAGGGTAGTTTGTTGCACAGTAAAATCTAACTTATACAACTGAAACGTGTGATTTTAATTTTATTTTGTGATCTTAAATGAATTATATACTCACTGGAAAAAGATGTATAGAAGGGCCTCCCCTGGTGGCGCAGAGGTTGAGTGCTGGGCTGCGAAGCTGCCCCGCAGCCTCTGCAGTGCCGGTTCGATCCCTGGCCAGGCCACCGGCGAGGGTCCCAGAAGAGAAGAGACTGTGCTTTTATTATTTATTTATTTAGCCTCAACACTTTAGCTGTCTCAGCAAACCAAAGAAGCAGGAGGTCTTCTGGCCAGGTTAAGGAGTAAGAATGGCTACGTGAGCTTCTAAAGATGCCCTAGATAGGAGGTGAGGGAAGAGAGAGAAAAAGTTCCTCTGGATAAATATTTGCTTCCATTATCTTGCTTTTTCTACCAACATTACTGTGAGTAACTTTGTACGCAGGCTGTTTTACACAGATGTGAGCATGTCTGTAGAGGAAATTCCTGCAAGTAGAATTACTCGGTCTGTGGATAACTCGGAAAAATAAAGACAAACCACCTCTCTCAGACACCAAATCAGGGATTGGTTACTTATGATCCATAGGCCAAATCCGGACTGTGAGCTAAAGATGATTTTACAGTTTCAAAAAAATTGTTTTAAAAAAAGAAAAAAGAATGGTGGGGGTGAGGGGAGGGAGCAAGGAAGAATATGTGACAGAGACTGCACGTGTCCCGGAATGCTTAAAATAGTTACTATCTGGTCCTTTACAGGAAAAAAAAAAACAAGTTTGCTAACCCTCAACACATCTTGTTTCAGGATGCAAATATAAAAGCTGACACCTGAACTTCTCTTGTCATAATGATTAGAATCCTCAACTATTAGAACTGAAAGGAACTTTAAAGGTTATCTGGTATCAGCATTATGGATTTTGTGTACCATTAAAGCTTCATAAGAATTTAAAGGATTAAAACAAGCTGCCACTTTTTATTTTGCCAAGTGGTCATTAAAAAACAATCCAACTACCATCAACTTTTACGATTACTTCTCAAAAGAAAGGAATTTAACGTTAAAAAAAAAAAAAAAACAGGACATACCCAATCTCAGAATAAAGGAGAACCCATAAGTTGAGCACATTTAAGCTTCAAGAAAAGTTAAGCACAGTCATTTTCTTTCTGCCAATTTTGCTTCAGATTGAGGAAAAAACATGTCAAACCCATGGCTGGGAACCAACTTCAGGGTTCTGAAACAATCTAAAATGCCCCCCCAGCGAAATGCCATGCTCCAGATTCAGTTCTGGTGACAATGAATTCATGGCTAAGACTAGAATGCAGGACTTCTGCCCCCTAGTTTTCTATCTTTCCCCCAATACTACAATTCCTCACCTGCCCAGATCACGGACAGCACAAGTGGCACAACCAAGACCCCAGGTCTCTACCTTCCCATGTCACTACCCTTGGTTCTTGGGTCCAAAATGTACTTTCAGTAGTCTTTACTGGGAGTGGGGTGGGGGGTGACAAACAAAACAAAACAGAAAACCTCCTCTTCTAAGTAGCTGGAGACTTCTAAATTCCCATAGGTCCAAAGGACAATCATCCATTCTAAATGTATCTTTGTTCCATCAATCGTTATAAATAGCCTCTACCTCACTCTATCTTTATGCTGCCGGAGCCTGGTCTTTCCGTGGTGGAGAGGGAGAGCCGGCTGTGGAAATACGTGCATGAGTTTTTATACACTTAAAAATTAATCATCTGTGATGGTTAATTTTATATGTCAACCTGACCGGGCTCAAGGAGGCCCTGAGAGCTGGTAAAACAGTATTTCTGGGTATGTCTGTGGAGGCGTTTCTGAAAGACTTTAGCGTTTAGATTCATGAACTGGGCACAGCAGATGGCTTTTCCCAATGTGAGTGGGCACCATCCAGTCAGCTGATGGCCTAAACAGAACAAAATGGCAAAGAAGGGCAAATTTACTCTCTCTGCTTAAGCGGAGACGTCCACGTTCTGCAATCAGAAATGATGTCAATTCTCCTGGTTCTCTGGATTTCAGAATCAGATCAGGACTTTCACCATCACCTGATCCTCAGGCCTTCAGACTCAATCACAACACTTTCTTGATTTTGCAGACAACCCATCATGGGACTTCTCAGCCTCTATAACCACATGAACCAATTCCCACAACAATTTTTTTCTTTTTTTCTCTCCTCCCACCCATGCATCCATCTACTCACCTATATATATATATCTTGTATCCATCCATCCATTCATCCATTAATTGGTCATTTTCTCTGGAGAATCCCAATACATCACCGTCCCTTTAATTTCAGAGCTAAGGAAACATCAAGGGCCTTGGATATGGAGTTATAAAAATGCTACATCTATATCAGATTCAAGCCCTCACCTTCCTCTGCTCTCCCTGGTCCTCTTTCATTCAGAATACACCCTTATTCCATGTGCCAGGCACTGTCTGCCCTAGTGCCTGCTCGCCCATTCCTGACATAGGAATCAGCTTTATTTTGCACCACCTGCAAAGTGGACACAATAAGCCACCTGGCAAGTTATTTCAGCCTCTGCCACAGAGACACCCAGATGCTGTTTTTTGCCTGTTGGGCACTGCTGTTTCCAGCTAGCTCTGCAGTGAAAGCTAAATGATGCTCAGGACTGCAAAGCTTCCTGTAGTTCTTCAAGCATCATAAAAAGAATGCGTTTGAGAGTAGTCAGCATTGATAACAGCTTTAATAAAAACAGTATTGGCTCAATATGTTCTATTTTCAATTAAGATTTTGGCTTTCACACAGCAAGGTTTTAATAGAAATCCTAAACCTAGGAGTAGCTCATTGAGAATATACCTTTTTTTTTTTTTTTAATGAATCAAAGAGTAAGACCGTTGTTGCCATTTGAGGTTTCCCTTTCTTTTGAAAGTCTTCCTCTGTCTCCCCCATCATTACAATACACAGCTGAAGATCACTGTTTTCTCTTGATATACTATGTCACTCCATCCCCTCCACTAAATACTTCCTCAGTTTTTTGTTCCCCGATAAAGCTTTTTAATAGGACTAGTAACCCAAATGAGAAACCAAATAGTAGATGGAATCTTGTTCCTTGCAATAAACTGTGGTCAAAATAGACAAACTCTCACCAGGACACCAAGAAATGGAACATGTGTCCTAAGGAGACTTGACCTGGGAAAAGAGGATGTGCCATCTTTCTGTGACTACTTCATGCTTCCCTCAAAATGATCACTTCATGTTTTGGCAGAAGGCTCTGAACAACATCATGTCCCTATAAATCAGCTCAGTCACGCAGATATGATTTAGTTATTTATCCCTCAGAACAACAGGAAGTTGGTTGACTTAGCTTTTCTGTTTGGTGAGGAAGTCAGCCCTATAGATTGCTTGCCTTCTTGCAGGGGGACAAAGGGATTATCTTGCCTTCATCAAGGCGTTAGCTTCCAAGGTGTGTGCCATTAAAGAGAAGAGCAGGAGATGGCCTGTTTCAACAGGCCTTCAAGGTTATTTAATCATAAAGATAGAACACACCACAGGGATCATTAAGAAAAGCATGAGCTAAATGGATACAGCAACAGAATGGGGAATAAAAGAGGGCAGACATGTGTGCAGGAACACAGAGAATTCCCATCTTTTCAGTTTGTGCCATGCCTTTTAGTGCCTTTTCTCAAAATATCATCCATTCATTGCACACTCATTCAAGAGTTAGTACTTACTGGATGGCAGGTATGACTACTAAGCATTGGAGATATGATGGTGCCTGCTATCTCTCCATAGAGCTTACAGTCCACAGTTACACAGATCAGTTAATAAACAAAATTACAACTACTGTTGATTTAAAAACAAAAACACCACTTAGTTGCTAAAAGGAATGTTAAATACATTCTGGACAGTTAAGAATTACCGGGCTTCCCCAGTGGCGCAGGAGTTAAGTATCAGCATCATCAAGCTATCACCAGCCACTGCAGCATGAGTTCAATCCCTGGCCAGGGAGCTGACCCACATGGTACAACAGGCCTCTCCTGTCTCCCCGCTGCTCTCCTCTGCAGTGTATTTCAGTTGATCTGGCTGTTCTGTTCCCCACTCTGTCTCTGGCGAAACCTCTCACCCTCCACGCTTCTGGCCTGCACCCCAGCTCTTGTATGCATAAATAAATCTTTTTTAAAAAAAGAATTACCACATATATATATATATATATATACACACAATAAGTGTATTCTCAATTTATAAATAAGTATACTTACTGGTAAGTAATCTACTTATAAACAGGTAAGACAAACAGCAATTCTGTTCATTCACAGTATGTCTACTGAGAACCTGCCATATGCTAATCACCACATTAAAAATTGGGTTATAAAAAAAGACTGACAAAATTACTATTCTTAAAGAGCTCACAGTCTAAGTGAGAAGATGAAAAAAATTAAGAAAGCGCTTCAACATACATGATGTTGACAAAGGTTTTAATGAAGAATGGAAAAAATTCTGGAAGAATGGGGGTGGGACAGGAAAGAAGGCCTGGAAGTAGGGCACCCTTGAGTCTTTAAGCTGCAGTCCTGAAGAATGAGTAAGGCAATGCCAGGCAGACAGGGTTGTAGAGTTCATTTCAGATGAAGAGAACAGCATGTACATTCTCAAAATGAAAACAGTGCCTTTAAGGTGGCAGAGAATGCATCTGGGCAGCAGCCCAAGAAAAGCCTAGAAAGGGAAACAGAAGGTACATCTTGAAGGGCTCTGAATGCTTAGACTATGTAGCTGGGCTTTACCTCACCAGCGATGGAAAGCCTCTCTGCTGTGCTTTGAGCGTGATTAGATTAGATGGTTAGATTTGTGCATAGAAGCATTATTCTGCCTGAAGTCCTATGCACTTCACACATTTACAAAGGTTTAAAGACTGTAAAAGGGAAGAATCGTCCAGATAAGCAATGTTGGTGCAGTGGCAGAAAGACAATCATCATCATTTGTTCTTTCCTGTTTGATTCCAAATAAAAGTGGAAATTTAATTGAAAATTAAATTTAATTGAAAATGGAAGAAACATCTCTACTATGAGATTATGCATTACAACTCAGTCTGGTCTCTTCATTAAAAAAATTTTAAAAAACCAGATCATATTACCAAAGGAATAAAACTGCTTGTACCTTTTGATCTAATGATTCCATTAAGGGATTCCCAAGAAAACAATCTAATGAGAGAGAAAAATTATTTTGTTCAAAGGTGTTTTTAACTATCCTACTCAAACATCCAATAAATCTACATATCTAAAACTAAGGGATAGCTAACCCAAAGGTCATGAACATGAGTTAATGCTGTATAAATGTAGTCACACATGGGAATGTGCACGGAGCCAGGGGGA